GGCATTAAAAATATTCTCACCGAATACAGGAGGAGCAGATCCTAATTTATTGGTGCTGAGGTTAGTTGCTCGAAATGGTGAGTCTAGCAAATCTGGATTGCCAACTTCAAAAGCCTGAGGCCCGTCGTAAGCTGCAAAGAAATGGAAAATGATATTCCAACCAACATAGCTAACATTTTAAGAAAATTGAAAGAGTTAAAATATTAATTAGAACTACGAATTTTATGCAAATTCCTAAAAAATAAAACATTGAATTCCGAATTAAAATAAGTTTAATCAATAACCCGACAAACAAATCACACTACTTGAAAATGTGGGGGTGTGCGATAGACATGCCTCCAAGTGGTGCAACCTGGGAAACGTATACTCATACGGCAAAAAAGTCTATTAACTGGCAGTTGACTTCTCACTTCAAACTACCATCACATCACTCTATGCTATATTCGAATATTTCCACAGTACTCACCTCACCTTTTTTCTATCTTTGTGTTTGCCTCTTACATCTTTGAAACACTCTTCTGTCCCCCCCCCCTCTCGACTTTTTTCAATTTGATGTTCCTTCCCCTCTGTGAAGTCTGAAGTCAACTAAAGGGCTAATGATAACCATCAAACGCCTGCCATTTGATATAAATAAACTTGAAAATGTGAATGGAATCTAAGATATCCTGAATCAATGTGGCACGTCCATTGAGGTCTTCAAACATTTAAATGCTCAAGAAAACATAGTCTAATTTAGCATAATTTGAGAAGTATTCAAATTACCTTACTAAAGTAATGAATATAAACTTTTCAATATAAATTAAATATTTTTTATTAAATTAGTACAGATAACTATATTCATATATTAATCGTAGAGTAGTGTACTTCTTCCCCTGAAACAATTGCTCTAAAATAATTCAAATTGAAGTCAATTAAATTCACAACGATCGACAAATACTTTGCTATGGGGATAAAAAATCAAATTCAAAAATTTCGAAAATGTAGTAGTTTTATTAATTACTTTCGCCCATTCACTTTACCATCCTCCTCATTACATCATTTAAAATGTTATCGTTGGTTTGCTATATTTATTAAAATGAGTAAGTTTTAAAAATGTACTAATTTCTAATCACCTTAATCAACAAATAATTTGCTAGCTGTTCAGGAGAGGCTTCTGGAAACTTTTTCCTAAATTGGCTTTGCAACGTAGATCATTAATAAATTAACTCAATTTAGGCTCTGTGTGTATCTTTTTGTAGGCCCAATTGTGAATATTATACTACTAATGCATTTTCAGCCGAATTAAAATGTAACTACTTTTCACTGATGGCAAAGGAAAAACAGAAAAAAACAGTTTGTGCGTTGATCAATTAGTCAATGGACCGAAGTTTCAATTTAATATTAATAATAAATATTTGCTTGACCTTTGATATCTTATTTTCATGCAATCTACTTATTACGCTTACTGATTAAGTCAATTTACAATCAATTACGGACTTGATAAACTTGTTTGTCTTAATGCTTATTCTTCACATGAATTCCTAATTAAAAATCATATTTAGGCAAAAATAGTGCATGTTTATGGTAATTCAAAACTGAATGCGGAAACTTGCCGAACATCTAATTGGCAAATTTATTACGGGAAACCTTAATTGTACTTAAGTTGAGTAAAGAGAAGGTTCTTAAGAAGTACTAGTTAAGGAAAACTTATTCATTTTGTCAAAAAAGTATAATTCAGTACCTTAGACCAATTTACCTCGAGATATAGATCATTGAACAACAATCTCTCGATTAATTTAAAGTCAAATCGCATTTCTATTGCTCGCTATATAAGAGTAAATGTTAATGTATACTTTAAGAAGAACTCAATCATTCCAACAATATACGGACTAATAATTAAAAAGGAATTATTAACTAATTGGGCAATATGGTTATAAAGTGAAAAATACCAAGTTAAATGCCCGGTGTTCATCTTGGAATTAACAACAGAAACAATATTTTTCATAATGGAAGTAATACTCTTGTAAAATGAAGAGAAGAAGACAAGATTTGTAATAACTATCAAATGACATCTTTTTCATATTGCTAATAAGTAAACAAAACTCTTCCTCGTTTCTAGGACAAGAAAATATCGGCCATTACTAGATATTTCCCCAGAGATGACTTATTTTGCTCCTAAGATATCTCACCTCTCCTTCGTAAATAATTTGAATCAATTCGGTTTGCTAAAAAACCGGCCGTTATTTGCGAATAATAAAGCAAAAACCTTACCATCGGGCAGCCGAACAGTTAATGTGGCAGACATACATAAATTGTCTACTATAGTTTATTAGGATTTATTTGTCTTTTAAATTGTATTTGGAGACGCTTAAAACAGGCCTATTATTTTTACAAATCCCTTTCATAGAATGAATGAGCTCAACAGCTGCCAATCAAAGCGCACAAAGTTGCGTTCAAAACTTAATTCAAGTAAACTAGAAAAGAAAGAGTGTAAAGGATATATTTATAAATATTTACCATTTTGTGAAAACTGGTGAAGCATGAAAAACTTACATGGTGAGTAAAACTTTAATATAGTCAAAATAACAGTTTAAGTTATATTTATAAAGATAGTAAAACAGTATTTAAAAAAATCAAAACGGATCGCAGAAGGTTGTGAGACTGGAGAGCCTATTAAAGGGATATTTTAAATATAGAAAATATTATTTGATTTCTTGTGAATTTAATGAATTTGGAAGGAAAGGTAACAACAACCCATGATTATTTCAAATGAATTAATGTTCGGCTTTGACCCCCTCAAGATACAAACCACTATTTAAACCCTTTCATGCGGCATGGATATTATTAAATCAAATTAGAACGTTCTGGCATTTATGATGGAAAAACAAACCGAATTCTTCCGAATTCGACATTCTCGAAGAACGCTTTGGGGCTTTAAGAGCAGACAGAGGGCTTTTTCTTGGAAGTTTGGCAGCATTGTTGCCCAATCTACCCGGGTATGTCCTTTTGTCATAAATTTGATGCTGTTGATGCTTACTCGATAAAATATCACCTTGTCTTTCCAGCGTCATTTGTGCTTTATCGTCTAGAGAAATACCATAACAAATTTTAAGTTTCGCCCAAAAATGATTCGCAAGTGTTTATAAAATTTCACGATTACATTCAGAATAAATTATTAGAATAAATTTGTACAAATTAAATATTCTGCCAGCATATAGAAGGCCTTTAGTAAAAATTTTAAGAGTAAAAATGTATACAGACTTGACGCAATGGTTGAAACAAATAAAATAAGACTTTTATAAAAAAATAGAAACAATATATTTAATAAATAGGTCGTACGAGTTTAATTGCTTAAGAGCATATTAATTATGCAAATACAGAAAAGTTCCTCTTCAATGAAAAAAAACGTTATTTACCCAGCGCAAAAGTGTAAGGAGCTGTTGATGAATAAATTAATGCTTTTGTATTGTGCCAGTTTGATAAATTTTTGTAGAGTGAAACATCAGAAATTAAATACTAATTTCTTTTCAAATTCGTGGCTTAATTTCTCTTTGAATGTAAATTGTACATTTGTTTAGTAAAACAAGATAAACTGTATTTAAGTCTGTCTTTTAAATATTCTTAAACATTAATCTTCATTTTTACCTAAATTAATTTGAAATTCAGTATTTATTTTTTACCCAAGACTTGATATTTTGAGCCTTATAGCTTTTGAAAAATAGTGGTATTATTTCAGCGTTTTCTCGGACATTTTCTGCCGATTTATTGATAATTAAACATTAGTATGGTTCATGACGATCATTTTCAGATAAGCTTTAAAGTAGTTCTGTGAGTTTAGTATTGCCCTGTTATCATGACTCGCTTTTCCTTTCAATATAATGGTTAAATGTATCTCGAATTTCTATGTTATAACAGGCTACTTCAGCTACAGTATTTCAAATTTAAAAATGCTACTTTCTGCCGCATTGGTCTGTGTGTCTATTTGGCATACTTGCGCTAACGCTGGTTCAAATGCAGAGTACGAAAATTTAAAGTTATGAGTCTATTTTTTATGTAATTGGCAGCTTTCTTGTTCCAAGAACTATTAAGTTGTCATTGTCGAATTGATAAAAACGATGAACAGCAATGAGTCTAGCTGTATAAAATACTTATCCACGATCGAAAAAGCAGTCTTTTGGCGCTAAACTAAGTTTGTCGGGTCCACATCAATCGAATTGTTAAACTCAATGTCCGAATTTCGTTTATTATCCGATCCCTTCCGTTATTACAGGAATTTCAATGCCCACCACATTAAGCATTCCTCAGTAAGAGCCTTAGAACACTGGGCGGAAACTCTTTTAATAAGCCTAACTGGATCGATTACCCATCTTCCACCGAGCACCGCACTATAACACCACAAGTTATTTATACATAATCATCCCAAGATGTCATATTACTTAACAAAGTCAAAGAATCAAGTGTAAATCACCAAAACAAGCAATTATATATAATTAAGATCACAATATATTTACACACAGTCATTACAACATGTTCTGTTTCCGAATTCTCTTCTGTCTTTTAGCAGCCGCCTTCGCTTTAAGTCTCTCACCGGAAAGACCAGTTACTGCAACTGGAGCTGAAACATTGGAGCGACTGATAAACGCATCAGCTTCTTCTTCCCCCACCACCAATCTTTTGCGCTCTTCATGCGCTGTAATCAACGTTTTTAGCACTTCACGAGCGGACGCCGGTCTTAATCCAATTCTTGACTGCTGCAGTGCCCATGGGTCAATCACATCAAGCAATGGAAATATTAATCCCTGATTCAACATCTGCCTTACGCGAGGTCTGAGAGCAGAAAACTCTCTAGTATTCTCAGTGGATATTTTCTCCTCGTTCCACTTGCGTTTCTTTCCCGTAGTGGTTGCTGGAACTGTGGCAGCGGCTATATTGACACACACTGTGTGAAGAAGACCCTGAATACTGCGCGACAACTCTGGACGCGTGTCAGGCTCTTCAGCATGGAGACTTGCCCATGTTCGGCTGATTGATGCGATACAAGGACATATTGCATATTCGAGTGTAGTCAGTTCTTCTTCATCTGTGGCTGTTAAAAAATTACATTTATATATTACTAACATCTTATAAGTAAAAGGTTCAAGATTTCGTTGATAAGCAAAAATTTAAGACAAATCTATATACTCTAGTATGGGGTGTGCGATAGACTTACCTCCACGTGGTGCACCCTGGGCAACGTATATCCATACGGCAAAAAAGTCTATTGACTGGCAGTTGACTTCTCACTTCAAACTACCATCACCTCACTCTATGCCACATTCGAATATTTTCACAGTACTCACCTCACCTTTTTTCTACCTTTGTGTTTGTCTCTTACATCTTTGAAACACTCTTCTGTCCCCCTTCCCCCCTATCGACTTTTTCAATTTGATGTTCCTTCCCCTCTGTGAAGTCTGAAGTCAACTAAAGGGCTAATGATAACCATCAAGACGCCTGTCATTTGATATAAATAAATATACTCCAGTATAATAAAAAAAT